CATGGGTAAAAGTTAGTGACGAATAAATTATTTGCCATTATTATCACCCATTAAAAATATATATATTAGTAAGAATCGACCACATTACATAAAATTGTTTGGTGCAAAACGTGAATTTAATTCTACATATATAGTATTCTATCCCAGCCACCAAAAACCTACATTTTTTTTTATATTTGCCGTGAACTATGGTGTAAATGACAAAGTAAAACGCCTGTTAATGAGAAAACTACGAGAACTTTATAAAAAAAACTGTTCGTCTGTACCATTTGTTTATAAAGTACCGCTTTTTCATTAAGGATATAAAGCTAAGGACAAAAACGCGTCAAGAAACATTAGCCGTTCAACCGCGATACCATCAGGAGCGTTCCCTATCTATTGGTAATGATTTTTTCATTGCATCCGTGCCTAAATGATTTGTCATTGTTCGTATTAACGATGGACAGGTTCAGTGCGAAAACGTGATCATGAGATTTTATCTTTCAGTTGTTAATACCGGGTGTAGTATGTAGGTAGGTATGGTGTGTTTTTTTTATAAATCCTTGTTTATGTACTTATGTAATATTATAAACATTAAAGTGAAGTCTGTTTGTTATCTTATAGCATCTTAACGGTTTAACCGATCACTCAGCGGGCCGAGGCACACAGTCAGGCTCGTGCTCGCATAACAGTCGCTCATGATTAAGGGTCACGAATTGATCCCAAAACCAGTCGAGTTACTCGATCTAATTACATGTAAGTTAAACCGGTAGTTATTACATTAAAGCATAATGTGTGCTCACGAAAATTTTAACAATAAAATTACTATGAAATTGGGTATACACGAATTATATGGGTTGGAGAAGGGTTTCCCGGAGCATATCCCAGTCATGCAGGCAAAAGCAATATATATGGGTGTATGGTGGTATGTTTACACCATAATCGACTTCAAAATGAAGTAAATTCTCAATTACACAATATTTCTACACATTTGTATATTATGCGATATCTTTTTCAATCAATTTCAAATTGATATTGACAGTATAATCGAAACGGGTTTTTTTTTTATTTATTTATTTAAATTGTGATACATAGGTAACAATGGATGGTAAAACAAGATAAGCCCTCTATGATCAGCCTCATCTATCGAGTTTGTAATTATATAAGAAAAAAATGTGTTAAGTGCTAATATTGTCAAGAGTGATATTGTTTTGTGCAATAAATAATAATAAGAATTTAAAGTTACTATTTTTCGCTCATGACTTCGGTTCGCGATATATTAATTGACCGAGATAAAAGCCTATGTTTATCATTATGTCATTTTTTTACATATATCAAATGTGAAAAAGTGTGCAAAAGACCTTATTTAAACTTTTTGCACTTTACACTTTGCTTACACTAAAAATACGTCTTTTGGGCCATCTTCTGACTTAATATAATAGAATACATCTTTATTAAAAAAAAATACAAGAAGAACTATAGTATAGTTCTCCAATTTTTTTATGAAATATAAATTAAATAGTCGTCCATTAAATTTATAATCGAAACATAAAAGTATAATTTGCAGATGCTAATGTAACGCGAGATTGTACCGGCTACCTCTATACCTTGACCCGCGGAGATACCATCATTAAGTCAAGACACGTAATATTGAAGTTCAAACATGATTGCTCGAGAGTTTTATCTCTTCAAATGTGAATATTTAGACATCGTTCAAGGCCAACTCTGTCATCTTGTTAACTTCTGTTCTCTTAGTCATTGTGATGTATTTATTGATATTTCTTTTTCATGAAACAGAATGCACATTTTTTTTATCTCAATAATTGTATAAAAAAAAAATTATGGTTTATTGCAAAAATGACAGAGATAAAAAATGAAATACTAATATATTTTTTTAATTTTTTTATCTTCATTTGTCTAAGAACAAGGAATTACATAGAAGGAATGATAAAATAAAAATTGTAAATCATATGGTTGCCTCCTTTCTTCTTATGCAAATATAATTAGTAAAAAGAGGACGAAAGATACACTATTAGTTACTTTTTTTCTCAATTTATAGCAGGCTTGTGTATAGAAAATGTTTGATATACCAATTATTTGTCAATGACAAATTTTACATTACTAAATTATATATTCGACACAGTTTGTGTAGAAAGTATGCAAGCAGATTGTATCTGAATTTAGTAGGGTTATACGGCCAATAAAACCAAGTGACATATCTTGATGTATTTGACTACCACGGACTAGTCAAAAGGCAGATGCGTTTTTATATGTCTATCCCTCTCTAATGCATTAGCAATATCATAAATACAACGAGCAACACACTATGTGAATTATGCATTCTATCTATTCTATTCCGAAATCTTTGGCATTTGTATGTGCTTTCAATTCGATATTTGTAATTCATTTGTCAAACATTCAAACTTAGCATTCAATTTTTTTTATACAACTTAGAATGGCAAACAAGCTGACATCCCACCTGATGGAAAGTGGTAACCGTCGCCTATAGACATGAGCAGTGTCATGGACATAACAGAGTATACTGTTTCGTCCATGATACCCCGCATGCGTTGCCATTCCTGAGGACTCAGTTGTTATTCCTCTGTACCCTGTAAATTCACGCCATATCCCACCCTTCAAACCGAAACAAAGCCATGCAAATACAACTGCTTTACGGTTGAAATACGAATGGGACAGAGGTACCCAAGCAATCGACTTTTGTACAAAGTCTTTCTCTGGTATTTTTATCTCTATATATCTTTTAATGACGTATTTTTTTTGTAGAATTTTTTTATAAATTTTTATAGGGACCAAAAATATATTAGACTGGTATATTAAATGGTGTCTAAAAATTTTTAAATTTGTTCACAATTCGATTGCCTTTTACAATCGTATCATAATAGTGCTATAAATCTATATAAAATTCAAGACATTTTATTATCATTTAAAAAAAAAACTGCTTTTGTTACAATTTGTACAGTCATTCATCAGTTCGTGAACGATCTAACCTTGATTTGATATCGGAACAGAACAATTATAGCAAATATTTCATTCATTCATTGATTGAATACAGTTCGCTTGAATTCTTACATTGAAAACACTATTAAATGGTTATTAGTTACAATTAAATTATAATTATTAAGGTAAATTTGAATTTAATTTCAGATATAACGAGGTAATTAATTAAAAATTGATATAAATACATACACGTATTGTAATTATAAAATAAATATTTATAACCTTAGATTATATAGATAGAGCATCGAGCCTCAAAAACGGGTCAACTATTTGTCAGCTAATTGTCAAATTAGCTGACTCGTTTTTTTTATCAGTATTCTATATACTTATGCATAAAATGTGTCTTGACGTATTATTTATTAAATAAAATGAGTGTATACGCATTAAAAAATGCAGAATTTATAAGACAAAATAAATATAAAAGTTATAAAGGAATCACTCATAACTATTTATCACGCAAAATTGTATGAAAAAGTTAAAAGGGTTTTTTTCGAAGCATTTCTATGGAGACGTTCTATTTATAATGTAAAATTTTAGATTAATTTTGTTTAGAAACCGTGAAGACTCTGTATGTATGATATCTGTAGTAGAATTCAAATTGCTTTCTGGAACATTAATATGTTACTTTATTTAGTTTTTACTTGATACCACAGATAATTAAATATTTTAAATACACAAAATTTTGGTGGTAAACAGTACCTACATACCTGCCTCTTTATTGCCGACGTTTCGACGTGGATTGTACCACGTTGTGGTCACAATAATTAACTAAATATTGTTTCAAAAAATAATGGAATACCTATATATATATATATAGAATATCAAAAAATCCCGTCTCCGGACGATATTTTCATTTAAATTTAATACATTGAATAAATAACAAATATATATGTATATATAAACTAGCATATTTATAAACATAATAAGTGGTTTTTCGATAGCATACACTTTGGAAAAATTATATTTAAAATAATATACCAACAATACGTAATAGAATGTACGCTGTGGCAACACCGAAATGGGTAATGATCTTTTCCAGAGTCATAAAACATATTATAAAAAAAAAAACAATAACGACCTTTTTCCATCATCAATGTCCAGAAGAACCTAATTATTAAATAAATATCGGAACAGGATATTCCAAACCTTCAATTAGTCAAATAACCAAAGTTGCCAAAATATTGAGCACAGATTAAAAATCAACAGAAACCCGCCATTTTTCCAGACATAGACCGATAGTGAAAACCGTATTTAGAGCATAGAGTAAGTAGTAATGCACTGACTAAGTAGAAATACTTTATTAGTTTTTTTTTGTTATAAAATTAGTCGTATTACAGTTAGTTAGTCGACGTTTTTAGTTATTTACATTATACACATTCGTGGCATTATCTAGTTATATTAGATTTTCAAATGCCACGATATTTCTATTAGAAACCAAGTCTGTGTCAGTTGCTTGAAAATTAGTGCGTTAAAGGTTTGTCTATGACTGTACGCTTGAGGTTACGATAAATTAAAAAATAAAAGTAAATATTCTTTACACGTTGCTTATTTACTTTAATCCTTATTTCTTTATGTATATAGTTTAAAATAATACCAGTGACGAATGATTGGAATAGTTTTATACTCACATTTTATTATTTTATTACAAAACATATTGAAATTTAAAACGTTCACTTCTAATCAAATGCTATAAACTGTTTCTTTTCATTGAAATAGAAATGTTAAAATTAGTTAGGTATTTTGTAAATTTATAAAATATCAAATTTAAAATTTTTAAGTAAAATTGACAGCTCTCTAAATGAAGATTTTATATTGAGCTTTAACAATTTCAAGTTATTAATTTTAACTAAGTCATATATTAAAAATATAGCAGATATATTTCTAATTGTATTAACTGATTTTGAGAATATTTTTGAAAAATTACTAATTTAATCGTAACCTCTTAAGTAAGAGCGAAAGAGATGCAGCGTACATCATAGACTAAGACCAGATGCCGGACTCACCGAATCTTTTAACGTGAACGTCTTGATTGAACGAAACAGTTTTTGTCTCTTTCGCTTCGCGGTTCTTCGTTTCGCTCTCGTCTTTGGCTACCTTATCGCCATCTTCGGCATCTGACTTGGTACCGGTTTCATCACTCATTGGGTATCGGTTCGGTACCCGCTTTTTGGTACCGCTCGACTTTGGTTTCGGCTATCGTCAACTCGGCGGTTTTCCTTTTGATTTCATCGGTACGCTTATCTGTAAAGAGTTACTGACTTAATTTTCGTCAGTAATATACTTATTCTTTGTAATTACTTTTATTTTTTTATCTTTAGTAGTAGTTGCAGATTATCCATAAGGAGAGTGGCAAAGATAAAATCTCACACAGCCTAATGTTCTGTTGCCAATTTTGTAAAATTTGTTCTAAATTCAAATTTTTTTTAAGCGATTTGACAAAAGCAACAGCATTAATTGTATGTTAATATACGCGTATTCAAAAATTATAACAGTAATTAGAAAAATAGAATATTTATAAGCAATTTATTCTGATTTATTTCTTAACAACTTTAAAAAATGACGTACATAAAATTTTTAAGTAATTTTCAGTTTTTGTTTTTATTAATTTATTACCAATTAATTATAATTAAAGCATTCAATCTAAAAATACATAAAATAGCCAACAAACAGTTATTTAATTTTATAGATAAATATTAGAAATTTTACATAATAAGTATAAAACGCGATATACTAATACGTACTAACCTTAGATTATATAGATAGAGCATCGAGTCTAAAATAACGAGTCAACTTTTTGTCAGCTAATTGTCAAATTAGCTGACTCGTTTTTTTATCAGTGTTCTATATACTTACGCGCATAATATATGTTGACGTATCTGTATTTAATTATTTAATAAATGAAATGAGTTTTTACGCATTATAAAAATGTTAAAAATTATGAAACATAAATAAATATAAAAGTTATAAAGGAATCACTCGTAACTATTTATCACGCAAAATTGTATGAAAAAGTTGATCCGCTTTTCTCGATGCATTTGTATGGAGACACTCTATCTACATAATCTAAGGTACTAACCTTCTTCAGTATTTATATATTTAGGTTCACCAACAATTGTTTTCACAAAATAATGTAAATATATATACAATTATGGAGCTTAGAACTAAGTGTAACAATTTTTTATAGGCAAATACAGCATATATTGTTTATCAAAAGTTAGTCATGAATCAACAATGACTAGAACTTTGATCACTAAATAAAAAAAAAAGAGAAAACAATAGCTTCATTGGATGCTTGAGTTATAATCTTTTATATATATAAGGTGAAATCGAAAACAGTGTAATTTTTTTTTAGTGGTACATAAATAGATAAAGGACAGAATTTTAAACCTCCTTTACTATGTATATACAACAGTGTATCTGGCTATTTAGTGAGGAGAGGCATACATTTTTTTGGAATTTCAACCGACTTCAAAAAGAAGGGAGTTCTCAATACGGTTGTATTTTTTCCATGTTTACTACCTCATAACCCCATCAGTTCTAAACTGATTTGGAAAATTATTTTTTTATCTGAAATGATGTACTTACAGATTGTTCCCATGGGAATGTTATCAACATTAATGTAGTGGTTTAGTTTTTAAAACAAAATAACTGGGGTTGTCATAATCGAAGTAGTTTTTTTTTTTTATGGGACACAATCCTTAATTTTGTTGAAATTTTTATTCGTAAATCTGTCCTTTTAAATAATCTAATATTTTACAGCATGGATAGATTTTTAGTACAATGTATGACTGACGACTTTGATATCACACTGTATTGAATGATATTAAAAATTTCTAGTAAATATATTTTTTTTATAATATTAGCATTTTATTATATATAGAATTAAACATTTCGGAAATAGATACCATCCTTAGATTATATAGATAAAGCATTGAGCCTCAAAAACGGGTAAATTTTTTGTCAGCTAATTGTCAAATTAGCTGACTTCTTTTTTTTGTCGGTGTTCTTACGCATCGTTCGTACTTACTCATAAAATGTATCTTGACGTATTAGTTAATAAATAAAATGAGTGTTTACACATTAAAAAGATGTAAAAATTATAAGACGAAATAAATATAGAAATAAAGGAATTACTTATAACTATTTATCATGCAAAATTGTATGAAAAAGTTGACCCGCATTTCTCGAAGCATTTGTATGGAGACACTCTATCTACATAATCTAAGGTACTATGATTTTCATATACACGTTCCGTTACACACTTTATACTTGAATATAAGAATTTATATTTATGTTTGTATTATAAATTCTTTTAAATTAAAAATATAATAGGTATGTTTACTTTATGAGTAAAAGTGTACTATTTAATATAGGGATACTTAGAATTTTCTAATATTATGTAAATACATTGTAATGATATGTGTGTAAACTAATTATATATTAATTACTTAGTACTCACCTCCGTATATTGTTTTGAATCATCCGTCCAGTTTTCGCCTGTTTACATCAGCAAAATCACTGATAGTAACAGCATTTTGCGTCAAATATCTGAAAAAAAAAGATAAATTTTAAAACTAATGGTCTGAAAGTCTAGTTTTTATTTTAAAGGTTTAATAACTTTAGATTCTTATTAATTAATATATACTGTTATTTTACAATGTGAAACTATGTACCTATTTGTAAAACAAAATTTAAATGATTTAAGGTCGGATCGGACGGATCATTCAGACTTTATCTGTTCACTGCTGAATATACTGCTGCCTTTCCCTTGGGGGGTTTTGCCAATAGTTATCATGCTTGGCATGTTTTAGAGATGTTTTTAAGAAGGACACTGCTGCCTATTCCGCGCCCACCCATAGTCGTCTCTTACGACACCTACAGGAAAGGAAGATATTTGAATGTTTGATACTAATTCAGTTTTAGATTAGACACCTATCATAAATGTTATGTTTCTATAATGTAATATACTTTATATTTCAAATAGTGTTAAAAAAGTTTAATTTTGTTTTGTTACATAAATTAATAATATAGGATTAGAAAGACAAATTTAATTATAAATAACTTTTGGAATGATATTTTGATTTATAGTATAAATACTTACTAGTTACCAGAGGAAGACTTTGTACAAAGGTCATTTGCTTGGACATCTTTGTGCCATTCCTGTTTCTACTGTGAAGCAGTTGTGTTTGCATGGCTGTGTTTCGGTTTGAAGGGTGGGATATGGCAGTGAATTTACAACGTACAGAGGAATAACATCTGAATCCTCAGGAATGGCAACGCATGGGGGATATCATGGGCGAAACAGTATACTCTGTTATGTCCATGGTCATGTCTATAAGTGACGGTTACCACTTTCCATCAGGTGGGCCGTCAGCTTCTTTGCTATTCTAAGTTGCATAAAAAAAAAAACTTTTTACTGATGATAATTTTAATGTCAATTGCCACTAAAGTAAATTATTATTCTTTTTTTTTTAAATCGTAATTTGTGTATCTACTAGTATAGTAATGTTACAAATTTTACAGGCATCATTATCTCAAGGTAATAGTAACTGTATTTCTTAGGTCAGAGGTCAGACAATCGAGTAACACCGACCGATTTGGACTCGCTCATCGTTCGTTTCGAAACAGTCGACGGATATGTAATTTTTAAAGACAAATTTGTTTATTTTTAGTGTATGCAGATGGCGTAACTGTCGCAGTAATGTGATTTATACAGCGTGTAACGGAACGGGTATCATAAGTCAAAATCCAGTGATAGTGTGGTTGAAATGAATTAATTTTATCACATATGAGTTTATTTATTTTAATGCACTAGTATCTAATGTTACTATTTACGATGTAATTTTTTTTTTACAACGGAGGTGGCAGACGAGCATGCGGCTCACCTGATGGTAAGTGACTACCGCCACTCATGATCACCCACAACACCAGCGGCATTGCAGGTGTGCTGCCGGCCTTTTAAAAAGGAATATACTATTTTTACTTGAAGGATACGTTGTTGTATCGGTTCGGAAATACTGCTGCTGGAAGTTGATTCCAAAGAGTGGTTGTGCGTGGAAGAATGTGCTTTGAAAAACGCACAGTGGAAGACCGCCACTCGTCTTTTTTTATTAAATTATTCATTTTTAGTTAATTAGATTGTTTTTCAACCAATTTAAAAAAGAAGGAGGTTTTATACGATTGTATTTTTTTTAATTTTACTTATTACTCATTGGTCACAGATTAGTTCCGTAGAAATTTTATTGAGGGGCAATGCCTTACCTTAAAAGGCCCAATGCCCTACCTTAAAATGGAAGGCCCCAAGAAAATTAGATAGATTCGCTTTTTCAAAATCACTTCATTATGGCGTCTGCCCTACCAAAAAGTTCTTTTGCCCTACCTTAAACTTAGGTCCAACTACGGCCCTGTCTTCTAGTGAACAAAAACATTTGCGGAACATGTTGATTACATCAATGGTATGCTTAAGACTGTTAGCCAATATTAATTTTGTATTGCGGAACAAATACATATGACTGTAATGACCCGTAGGCCTAATGACACTACGCGCCTTATTTGTCAAGCCTGCTATCTGTCGTGTTTTATTTCAAACTACCTGTTCTTGGCTTTGCACGGGTGTACTAATGAAATCACTTGGGGGGAAGGGATTGTTAGTAAGACGGACTACCAGGGGGGTCCCCCGGAAATCAACATGCTGAATTCCAGGTGTATTCATCCTGATGGGCTGACTGACCTGCCTTTTCATTCTCACCTATCATCCCTCACTGGCGTATACAGTTAACGCAGGGTTACCATTATATTATCATCCGGTAAGAAAAAATGAAAAGATATTTCAAACACAAATTTTTTTTATACAAAACTTGTCCTGTCAATTAAAAACACAACAAAAAGAATTAACCAATTAAACAGCTGTTCTTAAGTTGCGCTTACATATAATTTGACAATTGATTCTTGATGGAGGGGAAGGGATTGTAAGTATTGGAGATCTAACAGACCCATCGCTAGCAAAATACCCTATCAGATCGGTCTCCACGTGGTTCCTTTTGGAGACCATCTTGATTAATTCTTTATGAATTCATCAGTATGGGCCAATTGCTTTCATCCTCATCAGTCATCAGCTACTGGTGCCCCGCCAATGTATACCAATAGCGCAGGTGTGGTTACTATTTCATTATCTAGGCACCGCTCTCCATCGGCAGGGAATTCATCCCCTCGCGCGCGAACCTAAACGGTCACGTACAGTGCAGTTTTAAAGGAATTTTCACTCGCGAACGCTCAGGCTGTGGAATCAGTTACTGAGATTTTCTTTGGAGATTTCAGTTTGGGGTTCTTCGAAAAGGGTACATTAATATTTCTTCAAGGTCGACAACGTACAGGTGACGACCCTAATGCAGGTGTCCATAGGTTACAGTGGCTGTTGCACCATTAGACGGACAATATGCTTGTTTGCCACATTCGTGGTATAAAAAAAAGACACAATTAAAAAATAAATTGATTTTTATTTACACAGAACTACACTTGCCCACTGTACAAGTTTTAACTTTTCAATCACTCATGTGACCACTTGTCCAGTACGTCAGTTGCGAAACGTTAATCTTGCCTTTAGTGCGACCGGCGCCTATTCTAGAGTTCAAATCGTATTTGCGACATCAGTGCATACTTGTAGCGGCGCTGGGTTGCGCGTGAGTGGATTTTCCATTCAATTTATTCAGCTTTTATTACATTTAGTACTTGATATTGGCTATTTAATTAAATCAATTATTTCATTTTATAGTATACTGGCGTTCCAGCTCGGCTTTCGGTACAGAGTACGACAGGACAAAAATATCTAAGGAAGGTAAAAACCCTTAAAAATTAAAAAAAAAAAAAAAAACTATTATCCTAGTAATTAGTAATATTATTATGGGTGATCAGTTTTTACACAGTAAGTGTATGGAAGAGCTGGTCTGATTCCCAGACGCCTAATGTTTCTCCCAATACTCTAACTCTGTAGATAGAATTATAAAAAATATTTTATACATATAGTCTATGTTGCTAGCTAAAAATGTAGCTTTCTACCAAATTCTACCAAATACTTAAGTATTTACCAAATATTGTTTATTATGTATTGTACCAAATTCTACTAAATGTTTAAGTATTTGGTAGAATTTGGTAAAACGCATTGTACGTAATATTAGGAACTTGTACTTTAAAATTTTTGTGATTCAATTCTTATAGTGCAAAAAGTAATTCTTAGTAAAACTTGTTTGTAATTATTTGTAATAATTTATCGATATTTTTTATTGTGGATTTAAAACCTATTATTGACTATTAGAGCGAATTTTAATTGAATCTCAATAATTGAAAACACCCACTTTTCCATACTTCCTTTTACAACAAAGTACTAGGAAATCATAGTCGGCAAGGATGATTTGCATCGCTTGAGGCCGCAGCGGCGCCTTGAAATGTTTTAGCGGCCCACGTGCGATCTATTACCTGCTTTACACCTACAATAACATATCTTTTAACCGAATCCGTTGAAGGATATACGATTCATGGCTGTAAGTGACGACTGTTATTGATTAATTATGTGACTGTTCTGCATTGCTGACTTCCTAGTACTCGGAAGTACTGAAATGTATGGCACGGCTAACAAATTCAGGTTTAATCATAGATAATCATAGATAATGTTCCCGTTGCGTTGGTCCCAGGTTCGACGCGTTATTAGATCTATGTTAAAATGAACTTTTTTAAATTAATTTGGATTTGGGAATTCTGGATTTTCTTGTGAATTATTTCGAATGACCACTGTCTGTATCCGATTAATATATTTTTTTTTTATATTCACGAAGGTGGCAAATAATCATACAGTCCGTTTAATGGTAAACGATTACTTTTTTATGGGATGATAATGGAATGGTATCCCCGCCTGTGCTAACGGTATACATTGGCGGGACACCAGTTAGGGATGATAGGTAAGGATGAAAAGACAGGCCAGTTAGCCCATCACGATGAATACACTTGGAACTCAGCACCATAGTTTCTAGGAGGGACCACGTAGAGGTCGACCTGACTGATTACATTGCTAGCAATCGGGGTAAACGGTTTATGTATTACTAGCTGTTGTCTGCGACTCGTCCGTGTTTCCGTCGTTTTTCGTAAAATAAGTAGCCTATGTCCTTCCTCACGGTTCAGTGGTTTTGATATAACAGACACATTTCCCTTCATTGCTATGCTCTTATTGATCGTGGCGTGATGAAAAGTATACTATAACCTGCCCAGGAGTATGAAGAATAATTGTACCAAGTTTTCGTTAAAATCCGTGAGTAGTTTTTGTTACTATAACGAACATACAGACAAACAGACAAAAATTTTACTGATTGCATTTTTGGCATCAGTATCGATCACTAATCACCGCCTGATAGTTATTTTGTAAATATATTTCCATATACAGAATTGACCTCTCTACAGATTTATTATAAGTATAGATTAAAGATAAGTTCTAAATGTATATGTAAAGTATTTATTGTGTTTATTGAATGTTGTGTATTAAAGCCTTTTTAAATAGATAG